CAAACAAATATACGGAGTACTAAACAAAATAGAGCATATATACACACACACATACATATGTACCAGAAACTCTCTTAAATTCAATTTTATCTATATTTCATTAAAAAACATACACACATATAACTCACGTGGATGCCAATGGAATATGATATCATTTATGATGTTTTTTCCCCCTTTTTTATTGAAATACACATGAAAAGAACAGGTACGAGAGAGATGAAAAGTGGTATTTTGCGTTGTTATGTTATGCTTTCTCTACCCTTCCCAGAACTGTACTGATTCATTTATGAAAAATTTAAACAGGCGAATATTATGCTTCCTCTAACTTCTTAGAATTGATTCATTTATTAAAAGAAAAAAAAAATTAAACTGGCCACTCGACAAGAAGAACGGGAGTAAGAAGAAGATTATTTTACTTACCAATATGTAATAGCCACTACCCACAGATCTTTCTTGCTAGAATTCTTAGAGTCTTTTAATTTAGGAAACTGACAAACTCAATTATTTTTATATATTTTGATATCTTTTATATGGGTTTTGTCAACTTAATTAGTCCCTTTTGACCTTAATTGATTGATTAATTGATTTAATATGTTTTATTTTGAATTATTATTTTATAGGGGCAAAATTGTCATATTTTGGTTTAATTGTGACTAATTGATTTTTGAGGACAATTAATGCTACCTTATCTTTGAATTTTTGCTTGCAGGTTTTTGGAAGATTTTGAAAATAAAAAAAAATGAAAAAGAAAAAAAAGAAAAGAAAAAAATAGTAAAATAATTAAAAAAGGGGGGCAAAACGTTGCGTTTTGCCCCCACCCCCTAATAACCTATTCAAATGACCATCATCTTGGAGAAAGCGGGCTGAAGGAGACGGAGCGGAACACACGATTCGTAGGGAGTGAACAGTGGCGGCGTGAGGGAGTTACGAAAAAAGACTGCATCTTCTTCCTCCCCACGTTGTGAACGACACAGGGACCAGAGGGACTCGCCGGAAATCACACCCACACTTCTCCATTCTTATTCTCACCAATCCCAACCATTGTTCCACCATCCATCATCTTCTTCTCCTCCTCCTCAGTGACAGCGAAACAGAGGCGAGCAGCAGCGTGAACAACAGAACAGAGCAGTGACGCCGTGAACCTCAAACTTGATGGCAAACCGTGGCTAAGATCCTCTGATTCTCCAATTCAACAATAATGGCAGGAGCTTGGATCTTCAAGGGGGAGTTCTAGTTGCTTTAATTTCTTACTCAATAATTGTTTAACAATTCCTAGGTCTTAGGATAGTTTTTCTGATTGTTGGGATAATTGTATTGCTTAATCTGATTATATTTAAGGATTATTGTGACTGAATTATTGCTTAGTATTTGACATTGGGCTGTTTATAGTTTTGATCTCAATTATAATGTTGTGGTTATGACATTTGTATTGATTTTGGAATTAATATATTGTGATTTTCTAAGGTGGCTTAGAATTTTGGATCATATAGTCTCTTGCTAGCTTTAATTCTGTTATTTTGGATTTAAGAGTTCTAATTAAGCATTGGTTTTTAGCATCCTTAATCCCATTTTACTATTCTGGTTGCAGTTAGTAAGTTGGGATTTTAGGAAAATATTTTGTGGCAACTCGAGGTGGCTCGGTTGTTGGATCAAAAGCTTAATTATGATTCTTAATTCATTATTTTTAACTCCCACATTTTTTAGAGTGATGATTGCCTTGTTGTTGAATTGGAGGATTGATTTTTATCAGTGTTATTTGTGTGTCTCATTTTCATTTCTTTAATCTCCATTCATTTTAATCACTTTTATATAAAAACAAAAAAAAGTATTTTAATTTCAATTTGATTCGTAGTATTTAATTAACAGCTTTTCAAAATCAAAAATCTCTTTTTATAGTTTAGGTTACTTGCATTCATTTACTAGGGTTTAATTTCGTTTTCGGCTCCTCAAAGTGAAACGACCCGAGTTTTGCACTATATTGCATTAATTCGGTTAATTTTTTGGAGTAACCCCAAAGCGACAATTAAGGGCAGTTAACTTCAGAAACTTTTTCGCACCAGTAGGCAGTGCCTTCAACTTTCCCGCGTTGTTGGAGGAAGAAGAACAGAACGCGCGAAAAGAGAAATGGGACTTGCTGCTTGAGGGAGGAACGTGGAATATGAAATGCTACCTCCGGTCAAAATCATAAAATCATATTTATAGGACCTTGTTTGTAATCTATAAATAAAATCTTATAATTAGAACTGGAGTAGTATCTGAAACAACACCGTCTGATTTAGTTGGCCCAGATTCCATTTTTTCATAAAAAAGGCGTTGTTCTAAGTGAACGATAAAGGTAGAGGAGAAAAGCTAGACCCCTAAAGTCTCATCGCAGCTCCCTCTCCTCTTGTTGAGAAACAACTTATCAGTTAATCAATTTAGAGAAATTAAGAAAATCAAATAAATTATTCTAAAGTATTATAATTAATTTTTTTTATCCACACAAATTTGTTGCCGGTAACATATGCTATAATTAAGTATTTTTTTTTTTTTTCAAATTAATCAACTAATTCTTACAACCAAAGATAGTAGTTAAATATATAATATTGTGCTATGTAAGTGTGATTTTGTTTTTTATCTTCCACCAAAATTGCAACAAAATACGCCATTCCTCTTCAAGTCCCCATAATTTCTGTCTTATCCTTCAAAATCTTGTAACTTATTTTATATTATCTGCAAAATAGAAAAAGATATAAAAAGATTTTGTGGAAAAATAACTTTTTATCCAAAAAAATTACATTTAGAGAAAAAAAAATAAACACACCCTAAGAAAGCTATAACTCTGCCTTAGGAGATTAAATAGGTGAAAAATTGATGCCCATGATATGTGAATCAAAAATTAAAAAAGAAGTTCAAACCACCAACGGCCTTGTCGTCTATAGGCGTGCATCGATGTCGTGATCGTCAATCAAATCCGCCATTATTGAGATTCACTATTGAGAAAGACAAATTCAATATGTCCAGCTCTCATCGTCCTTCCAATGATATTATTTTGCTCTATTTTTTTAAAAAAAAAATTTGGGAAGTCTAATAGGAGAAAACGACCAAAGCCAAACAAAGTGACTTGTTTAGAGAAAAATAACTTTCATATTATTTATCACAGGGATTATTGGCTAGCCGAGTCAGTGCTAGTATCTTCATTTCATAGTTTCATTCAGCCCATTATTCTCAGGTCAAAGACAAAAACTTAAGGAATTGTTTTAATTAAAATAATTTATAATAAGTTATGGAGGGAGTATCATTCTAAATCCCTTTCAATGAATTCTCACATATCAACGAATGATAATTAAGTCATTAAATATGTGTTACATAGATAAAAAAATTTTAAGTTTGTCTTATAAAAATGTTATTTCCTTCTACGTTTACAAATCATTATCATCTTTCCCGTCTTTCTATCTTTTCAACAAGAATTAAATAAGGATAAAAACGGTCCTTAATAACTCTAAGTGAACTTATATTTAAGACAAAAAATTTCTTCCACACGAAACCTTATAATAAAAGGGGGAGTGGTATTATCGGTACATGATACAAAACTTATGACAAGTTTGTTGAATTTAACCATATTTTTAATCTGATTAAATCAATCTACCTCAAGCAGTAGCACGTTCATCATTAGGAATTCAAAAGACACAAACGAGGCGAGAAATAAACTGAATGGGAAGCTCCAAAAAATTTGTTAGCCAGCACAGCTGCTATACCTAATTCTTAATATAAAAGTTAGATAACTAATTTGAGAAAATTAATTAAATTATTTAATTGTAACAAATATGTGCTAACCTTCCTAAACTATCATTGTTATTTAATCATGTGTATTGAAACTATCTCTTAGTGGAACCTAGCTCTTACAATAACCAATAAGGATATTTTATAGAAAACAGTATAAATTTCAGAGATAAAGTGAATTGAAGTTTTATATTTAGAACTAAATTCAATTCCTAATAATTAGCTGATATATTAAGGAGGCGGGGTAATATATTTTAGGAGTCATTTTAGGTTCTCCGAATCTTGACGTTGTAAGAAATAGACATTGACTTTATTCAGCTTATTTTTCGTCAGCACTGAGGTGTTGAGACATGGATTGTATAGGCGAAGAAAATTCAAGAGCAATCCATGTCACTAATTAAATGCCTCCACCAGCGTCTTTTTTTTGGACTCACCAGCGTCTGTTAGCTGTAACGTAATTGTGCAATTACTGGTCAAAAAACGTGATTGTGGAATTGTGCAAATTTAATTAATGGTATTTCATATTCTGAGTTAGACAGATCAGAGTCAACGTGGAGTCAACTGGGGTCTTGTAATAACACTAGATCCCTTGCCGCTCTCAATATTCTACATATCATCGCACTCGCTCGCTGCTTTAGAAAGCTCAAGTAGACGCACTTGAACGGAAAAAGCCACAACTAACTCTTCGCCGGCGATGCATCCACCGTCTCTGAGTACACCTCTTCCTCATTAAGAGACAAAGTAAATTAAGGTCTTATATTTAGAACTAAATTCAATTCCTAATAATAAGCTGATATGTTAAGGAGGTGTGGCAATATATTTTAGGAGTCATTTTAGGTTCTCCGAATCTTAACACTGTAAGAAATAGACACATTAACTTCATCTATCTTATGTTTGGTCAGCACTGAGGGGTTGAGACATGGATCATATAGGTGAAGAAAATTCAAAAGCAATCCACGTCACTAATTAAAGGCCTCCCGCCAGCGCCTTTTTTTTTTTTTGGACTCATACCAGCGTCTGTTAGCCCTAACGTAATTGTGCGATAGATGGTCAAAAAACGTGATTGTGGAATTGTCCGAATTTAATTAATGGGATTTCGTAACCTGAGTTAGACAGATCAGAGTCAACGTGGAGTCAACGGGAATCTTGTAATAACACGAGATCCCTTGCCGCTCTCAATATTCTATATATTATCGCACTCGCTCGCTGCTTCAGAAAGCTCAAGTAGACGCACTTGAACGGAAAAAGCCACCGCTAACTCTTCGCCGGCGATGCATCCACCGTCTCTGGGTACACCTCTCCCCCATTACAGACTCGACGATTACCAGCCAGGGGCCCCACCTCCCTGGGACAACTCGCCGCCTCCGCCGCCTCCAACTGATGACTTCTCACTGCCTCCGCAGTCAGAGTTGGCCCCTGCCTTGGCTTCAACCGCGGCGCAGTCCGTATCGCCTGCAGAAGCACCTCCGCCATCGCACCGGTCTCCGTCAATCTTGCTAATCGCAGGACTGGCTGTGCTTGGTTTGTTGCTGATACTGGGGTTATTATGTGCTGTTTTCTTCATATGGAGAGCGAGAAGGAACAGAAGGATGAGAGGAAAAGACAACCCCTCTGCACAACCACACCAACCAGGAGGTAATAAACTCCTTTTGCATTGGGGGGGTGAAAATAAACAACACGTGCAAAAATATCTGCTCTTCCCTCCTCTCTGTTTTATCTATTTAATTTTACTTTTACAGTCATTGAGTACTATATTTTACATAAATTTCTTGGATCATTCATACGAAATTATTATACAAACTTTTATAACTTTTATGGATCATTCATACAATATTATTATACAAACTTTTATAACTTTTAGGGTCAAGTTATATCCAGCACCCCAAAGTATTTTCTCGGGTGCATCTAGCATCCTTGATGATTTTGTGTTGTGTCCCACCCCTTGAATATTTTATTAGATGGGCTTAGCACCATGAAGTATTTTTTAGTGCATCCAGCACATTAAAACATTTTTTTAGATGCATCCAGCACCTTAAAATATCTTTTAATGTGTTAACACCAAGGCAAAAAAAAAAAATTTTCAGGATGCCAGACGCACTTAAAAATATTTCACAATACTGGATGTGTCACAAAATACTTAAAGGTATTAAATGCATCTGAGAAAATATTTTAGGGTACTGGACGCACCTTATCCCTAACCTTTACCCTGACAATGCCGTTTTAAAGAAATTATCCCCAATAATCATATTTACTCTTCTCGTAATTACCATCATCAACTTGGGAAAGTTAGATGACTCTGAATACTCATATGTGTTAAAGCAAGAGAACAATTAGTTGAAACAATAATGGAGAAGCCAAAAATGAATCAAACTGTTAAATGCATGCGTGAACAATTGTTTAGATTTTCTCTGCCTAGAGAGAAAATATTTGTTTAAAAAAAACCCGCTAATTGAACAATAAGATCTGTGTTTTCTCCTTCCTCTTTTTGTTCTTCAGATGTGTCCATACATATAGTAATTTCAGATTTTGAAAGTTATAATGTTGACCTATTTTTGCTGAAATGATGTTCTAATTTTCTGCATAAAATCGGTGTCTGATCTGGTGCTTCTATTGTTGTATTTGAAAATTGGTTCTCGGATGTATTTTCATTCGCTGGTCTTATTAATCGGAAATGAAGATATTGTTTTTTTAAAAAAAATTAGGACATGACCTAGAAGAACATTTTGTAAGTGGTACTCCTCTGGCCTTAAATATAAAACCTTTTTTGTAGTGTAAATTACACTACAAAAAGAATTTTATATAAAAAGAGTCTTATATTTAGAATTGAAGGAATTTTTTCCCGGGGGGTCCAAATTTCGTAAGTGGTATCTACAAAAGCGATCTTGAAGCGCTCACATACCTACGTACGAGGACGCCTTACGCCTACACGAAGCCTTCTGAAAACGCTCCTGTAGACCCCGGGGGGGGGAGGGAGGGTTGTTTCTGTTGAGGAGAAAATAATATAAAACTGTTTAGGATTATTTGATTACGCCCAAATAATGCCATTACGGAGCGGTAAACAGATACTTCCTCTCCCTCCTCTACTTATTATAAGATCTAAAGTTTTGATAGTTTATTCTTTTTTTATAAGATATATTTTGAATTCGTCTAAATATTAAATGTATTTTTACTTATTTTATCCTTGTTTAAGTATACTCTCTCGTTATCTTTTGAACATATAGTTTTTCTCATATATTTTCCAGCTGTCACATACCCACTTAAAAATAAAAGAAAATTTGAAAATAAAAGTAAATTTTCTACATATTGATTAATTTAAACTAAGTTTAATAATTTTCTTAAACATCATAATTTGATTATTTAGATCTTATAATAAGAAACAAGGGGAGAGTCTTTAGTTCTACAAAGAGAAAGTATGAGTAGAGCAAGGACACTTAAATGGTACGAAGGAATTGAAAGGGAGAGAAGAAAAATTTTTTTTTTAATGAGATCGATTTAAAAGATTGAAGAAGTGGAGTTATCAAAGTTTGGTAAAGAGAAGATGCAAAATAAAAGAATGAGAAAAATTAATTAAGAGCCTTTAATACCACTTCTTCAATTTTTGAAATTAAACTCATTAAAATTTTTCTCCTATTTCCTCCTCTCCATTTTTCCCATACAGAACTAACCCTTCTCCCCCCTTCTCCTTTTCTAATGTTTCATTCTTTTTCATCATTTATCTCATTATTAGTATTTATCTATCTTATTTGCTCTCTTATTAAATAATGGTATACTTAAAAAAAAGTTGAATTTTTATTTTTAACTAATTTTAATTTTTTTTCTTAAACTCCGTAATTTCTTCAAAAGATCTTATAAAAAGGACCCTCCTCAAAGTGATTTCCTATATTCACATGAAGAAATTATTAAATTTTTAGGGAAAATTGGAACAAAAGAGAGAATGATATTTGCTAGGGAGGATCATAAAAATTGAAATTATTTATAGGGACCAGAAATTAAAATATGACTTTACAAATGCTAAATTGCCCCCAACCAAATTAAATCCCCTACATTCCCTCCCCTATTATCTCTCCCACAAGGCTACAATCCATTTTTATATAATTTTAAATTGGCTAAAATATACATTTTAGTTCTTTAATTTTATACAAGATTTTGACTTGATCTTTTAATTTCTAAAAGTATACTTTTAATCCTTTAGTCCTAAAGTTGTTAACAAAAAATGGTGACATTGAGATATTAAAAGTTGATAAAATATTCTCAAACATGAACATATTAAGTTTAATTTTTAAAACAACCATGATTATTACAAAAAAATCATTTAAGCCTAACAATTTTAGAATTAAATTAAAGGATAAAAAATATAATTTATTAAATTTAAAAAAAATTTACGCAAACATTCTTCAGTTTTGGCAAAAATAAAAATTATATTAGCTTAATGAGATTCAAGATCTTTTATAATTTATTATATATGTTGAAAAAAGTTATATGTGTCTTGAATATAAAAATAAAATTTACCCAAGAAAAAATTCAAAGAAAGTTTGTATAATTTGTGTACAAGAAATTTATGTGAGTTATGAAAATTATTAAAAAAAATCCATGTAATGTTAATGAAATTTCAAAAAATCCAGATACTGTTTTATAATTTTCATGCAAAAGTGGTAGTCAGGATGCTTCCATGAAAGAATACCTGTGAGTAATCCAAAAAAAAATATTTTCAATAAATATTTTAATATCATGAATAAAATTTATGGTAAATCACAATATAAACAAATGATAATAAGGTTTGTTACTATTCATATACTAATACTAATTACTACTGTAAGATATTAGGCAAAAAAATTTAAAATTTGTGTATTTTAGTTACAGATTATTTAAGTGAAATACAACTTCGTTCATCTTTCTTAATTTTTTTTAAATTTTTCTCTTACAGTTATATTGATATACCATGCATGGATTTATGATTGAAAAAAGATATATCATATATGCATGGTTTTTGTTAAGTACAATACTTATATCAAGTTGCTTATATCCATTATATCAAGTTTTCTAGTCACATATAACTATCCCTGTAGCGCAAGGAACCTGCGCTAGCGGATCAGGTCACAAGCTTATAGACCCCCCGCCTTATTGATTCTCTTTACAGGACGGTAGGAAAGGAAGTTCGTTTTTCTAATTGACACAAGCCTATTGATTGAGTTCGTAACCCCGGTCACTGAACTACTGTGTCCTATTTTTAAAATATTAGCCTTTAATAACATTTAATTATAAATTCTCATTAAAAAAAAAAAGAACACATGGCCATGTGTGATTATAGAACTTGATATAATGGACATAAACAACTTGACCTAAGTTTTTCTATTTGTGAAATGATTTTGAGGAGGGAATCTTATAATACACACACAATATAAAACTCTAATAAAAAATATCATTTATTTATAAACTGTAAATTATAAATAATATGACTTATTTTTTTATCTCGCGAGGTCCGCATTAATTTGTTCATAATTTGACATGTTATGAATTTTAAACTGATAGTATGAATTGGGCAGAAAAAATTTAATGATACAAATGAAAGAAAAGGGCATTTATGTTTTTATATTAAAGTATTATATTTATTAAGGAAATAATTAGCCTCTCATTTCAATACGTTGCTGCCGTGCTTCACAGATCCATCCCACCACATCGCCATGACCCCGTCAGTCAACAACCCACAGTCGCTGAACCGTCCCCAGCCATCAACCCTCACGGTGCCTTCTCGAGCACAACTAGGTAAGGTTAAATCTTAAATTTCTGAGAAAATTAGGACTTGTTTGTTTTAATTTCTTATTTTGAAAGCAAGTTTTTGTTTTCAAAAATTAAGAAAAATCTTGTTTGGCAATTTGTTTTTAATCAGGTACTTAAAAAAACAGAAATATGTTTTAAAAAACTAAAAAATCAAACATTTTTAGATTTTTTTTGCTTTTTTTTTTATTTCTTATTTTTTGATTGGGAAAATTGGGAAACTCTTTCTTCTCCGTTCGATAGCTTTTTCTCCATTTGAAGACTTGAATTCTCATTGAAGGTTTACCTTCCAGTCTCAGTATGCTTATTTTGAAATATAAACTTTTAAAACAATTATGCAAACAGACACAAATGAGGCCTTGATATTTTTTTTTTGTCTTTACAGTTGTGACTCAATTGTAACTTAGTATTTAAACTTTAATTCTCGATTGTAACTTAATTCCTAAACTTTAACTCAATGCAACTAAGTTCTTATAATTTTAACTTGGTTCTTAAACTTTGACTCAATGCAACTCAATTTCTATAATTTAATTATTTAAAAATTAGTCTCCATGTTTTTAAAAATACAATTATAAATTTCTTAAATTTCAGGAACTAAAATTTTAAATAGTTAAAACTATAGAGATGAAGTTACAAATCGAGCTAAAACATAGTAAAAAATATAAGCATGACAAGATTAATAATTTTCCCCGGCCCGTTCAAAATTAACGGTTGCTTCTTCTCCTCCAAATTAGCCTGCCAACTCATCTAGATTTGTTGGAATTTGGTTGGTATATCCAAAAGAAAATGAAGATCATGATCGAAAATAAATAATTTGGAGAAAATTATTAATTGCAGGTCGACCACTGTCTAATCCCAGAGTCTTGGAAAGGTCACGAGCACCAAGAATATTTACATATGAGGAATTAGAATCGGCAACAAAGGGGTTCGCGGAGTCAAATAAACTGGGCCGAGGTGGTTTTGGCACAGTCTATAAAGGAGTGCTCCCTCCTGATAACGAAATTGTGGCGGTTAAGAAGCTAAACTCTGGAGCACAAGGAAAGGAAGAGCTGGAGACTGAAATCAAGGTCATAAACCAAGCCCGTCACAAGCATATTGTTTCCCTCGTTGGATACTACATTGATGAAGATGAAGCCCTTAGGTCCGACATGCTGCTTGTTTATGAGTTCATCCCAAATGATTCTTTACAGTACCACCTGCATGGTAATTAAGACTTTGACCCATATGATTAGACTTCTCCGCTTCTTAATGTAAGATCTAATTAATTAATTTGAGTAAATTAAGAATGTTAGTTGAATTAGTTAATATGTTATGTTTTTTTTTTGTCCTAAAACACTCTAAGTATCTTCCATAATTCTCATATTCCCTCTTCTACTTGACTATTGGGGGGGACATCAATATGGTTAATTTTACATATAGAACTAACATCCACTCTTCAAAACTCCTCAATTAGGAGTAATAATTAGCGTGTGATACTAATCTTCGTAGTTGTTTATTAATTACTACGTGAATTGATAATGCACCAGTGTCTGTTATATATGAATCTTCTGTGAGTTTGTCCGTTCGAGATCGAGGAATTGATGATATCTGGCCTGATCTTACGCACGTATCTATGTCATAAAAATAGTACGGGTATATGCACGCACGCACACTCATATAAATATATATATATATATATATATATTATCATGCAGGGACAGGCACAGAAACTATAGATTGGGAAACAAGGATGAAGATTGCTATTGGCTCCGCAAAAGGATTGAGATATCTTCATGAAGACTGTGAGTTTCTTGATTAATTAACTGACTTTATTACTCTTGTGATCTTACGTTTTTCATCAGTCCAATATAACATTGGTGTTTCGTTTTAGGTGAACCCAAAATCATACACTGTGACATCAAACCACACAACATTCTTCTTCAGGGTGATTTTCAGCCAAAGGTACCTCTCTTGTAACTTCACAATCACAAATGCAAGTTTATCGGAAATAGTATTAGGAGGAATTCCAAATTGTTCTTCCTGCACCAAAGAATCCATTCAATTAAGAAGTTACTTGACTTGGCTTATCTTCAATTCCAACTTGGCACTCTGAATATTGATATATATATATATATATATGTTATATCTATCACAAAATAATTATGTGTGCTTGTATCTATTAATTAATCAGATAGCAGACTTTGGACTTGCACAACTTTTATCTGACACTGTTACCCACGTCTCCCAGTCACGATTCATGGGAACTTTTGGGTAAGTCTTGGCTTCTCTCTTTGAATCTCAACTCACCATATATACGGAAAGCTAACTAAGTACATGGATTGCCATTGGACAGTACTTTTTTCTTTTTGATTGTCCCCGTTTTCCGTTAACTGTGTTTATTATTTCAATAATCTCTAACAAGGTCTGCTATATATATATATATATATATAAATATATCGTTGGAACACAGATATTTAGCTCCGGAGTATATTCTTGGCGGGAAGATCAGTGAGAAGTCAGATGTCTTCGCCTTTGGTGTTGTTCTTTTGGAGTTGATCACAGGACGAAAACCTAGCGAGTGCACAGGAGGCATGGTTATCTGGGTGTGTGTACACAGTACTCAGCTTGCTCAATATTTTTTCCCGTACACAGTCTGCGTCCTTAGAGACGAACTATCTGACCATAGATAACAGAATTATAGAGTTGCATTAATTAATGTTCATAAATCGTTCTTTCACTCTGAACTCTGGATTTTTTGTTTCCATATTTTTTCCTTCATCAAATACTAAATTTTTTGGATTGTTAGTTACCAAATATGTCTAGATCAAGATATACATCATCAAGCATGCATTGACCGAACTACTTGTCTATATATCAGCTAGCTATTTCAAATTTCAATAGAAATGGTGCTGACCAGAATCTTAGAGATAACTGATAGTAGTGAATATTTGAAATTACAGGCAACCCCTCTACTCATCGCAGCCGTGAGATCCGAAGATACAGACTTTGAGGCTCTTGCTGATCCAAGGTTGCGCAATAAGTACGAGCCCGAAGGCATGTTTCGAATGGTTTCTTGTGCTGCTCATTGCGTCTGCCGTCCAGCCGCGCGTCGTCCTCGAATGAGCCAGGTTAGTGCGCGCGCGCGCACACATTTACGTACTATACATGTTTTTGCATTTCAAACTACAGTTTGGTCCCATGCATAAACTTTATTGGAAGAATTTTAATAAACCCTCCACTGAATAATTAATATCAGTCAACCCCCCCCCCCAAATTCTGAAATTTCACTGCACTTCCAATGACCAAAAATTTTATGGGTGAAAAGAGAAAAATAACTTTGCTTTATTTTGGAATTGTAAATTCCATTGTGTCTCTTATAAATCGTTGAATTTGGTTTGTAATTTACTAAATTTTGATTGTGAATCACTGAATTTCAATCATTTTTTTACCCTAAAACAACTAAATTTGAGTTGTGAAATTTTCTTTTATTATATTTCTTGTATATCGCCAAATTTAGTTTGCAAATCACCAAATTTGAATTATTCATTCACACCAAAACAATTGCATTTGAAACTTGTGAATTCTCTTATGTGTAAATCACCGAATTTAGGTTGTAAATTACCGAATTTGACTTGTTCATTCACTTATAAAATTTACAAGGATTGACAACTCAAATTCGATAACTAACAATCCAAATTCGGTGTTTTACAACCCAAATCCAGTAACTTACAAGAATTTTTTTAAAAAAATAAAGTCATGGTATTATTGTCTTTTCACTGATAGAATTTCGGTCATTGGGGAGGCAATGATATTTCAAATTTTTTTGGGAATTAATTGATATTAATTGTCCACAGCGGGGGTTAAATGAAATTTTCGCAACATTACTTTTTGTCTATCCTTAACGGTGCTTCTTGTCTGGCTCACTATAAATCTTACATATATTAATAAATGAAATATAAAATGGTTCTCAGGCAAAAAAAAAGAATGGTTCAATTTTTCTTCGTTTATTTAATTATTAATTTTTTGTTTCCCTATAAAGAAATTTAATTATGAGGATTGGATTTTTTTTAATAAAATACACTAACCACCCTTTTATTTTACCTAGATTACACAAATCTTTTTCCTATTTTAAAAAAATATAAAAATTTAAAAAAGTGACTTTGGTAGATTAAATATAAGGGAGTTAGTCAGGGAAATAGGAGATAAAGACAAGGAGTGTGTTAAAAATAACGTACCTCTAACTTATTTTCATGTTACTACCTTTTAAAAAAAACTTTTATTTTCGTCTCAATTTCCTCATCATACGAGGGGTTAATTTCTCTCAATGTGAGTATTTTTTCGTCGCCCGGATATTGTAACATGGTAGGCTTTTGGAAATTAGGATACCTTAACTTCTGGAATTCAGCAATTTCAAGATGAAACTTGACTATCTGTGAATTGATTTTCTTTTTCTTTTTGACAAGAAAAGATTAAAAAAAAAAGGGAGGTTGAATTTAATTAATTAATGTGATGGAGCAGGTGGTTCAAGCTTTAGAAGGAACGATTCGCCTGAATAATGATGATCTGACTGAGGACGCCACGTGAAGAAGTCAACGCGAGGCGTGTAGAATTTTGCATGGACAATGCATATGTGCCTGCGTGAGTTTCAAATTAAATGAACCCATAAGCTACATTATTTATTTCAGAAGTGTGATTTTTAATTTTATAGATGGTTTCATTGAACTTCCGTAAGCAGTATACGTATTGAGATAATTTTGAATGGATTGATATGGAGATTTATCATAAATAACGTATTGGTTAAGTAAACCTTTACTTAGGATCTCATACTAAAGCTGTTTAGTTTATAATGAACCATATTTGATCCAATTAGTATTCAAGTAACTGTTTAGTCTGTAATGAACCATACTTGACCCAATGAGTGTTCAAGTAACTGTTTAGTCTATAGAACCATATTTGACCCAACTAGTATTCAAAAGAACTAAAGTTTTAAAAACTTTTTAGAGTTAAAATGTATCCAACACCTCAAAATATTTTTTTTCAAGTGTATTCTGTATCCCGAAGTATTTTGTAGTGTATGCAGCATCCCGAAGTATTTTTTAAAGGCGTCCAGCACCCTAAAGTATTCTTTTTTGCCTTGGGGCTGGACACACCAAAAAATATTTGTAGGTACTAAACATACTTAAAAAAATACTTTGACATGCTGGATACACCAAAAAGTATTTTACAGTGTTAGACACACCTAAAAAAAATTTCTTGGTGCTGAATACAACTAAAAAAATATTTTGAGGTGTTGGATGTACATTAATCCGACTTTTTATCTAACTTGAAGTACTTCTTCATAAGGAATGGGATTTTTTTGAAAAACTTTGAAAATCCAAACGTTTGATTCAAAACCAGGTTCAGTGGTTCAAAGCGTTATTATTGAAAACCTTTTTAAAACTTCGTGAGAGAAAATAAGACTCGGGTTCAATCTACTCTGCTTGAACCAAAGGACATTCATTCTAAGCCATACCGAAGGCCTCTATTTAGCCTTTTCAAAGTGAAGTGTTATCATATATTTCTATACCTCAAATCCTAGTAATTAGGATCGATTAGCTACCTGTTGTTTAAACTCAAAACCACAAACTCGAAGCAGGTCACGAGTAGAGAAAGAACATTTCTATTCAAATAATAAATCTGCATGCATAAGAAGCTTTTTTTTAAAAAAAAAAAAATTGAAGGAGAGGGTTTATAACCTCCTCTGCCCTTGGTACATCAGATCGATGGCTTATTTATTTATTTTTTGCCAGCAGATCGATAGCTGATGAACACTAATAAAAATGGACAAAATAGGCGCGCTGGGCCAAACATAATAGGATATATGAGCCGGCCTTGGCAAATTCTCTTCTTTCTTTCTTTTTTTCTTTTTTTTTTTTTTAAAAAACCACCAACTGTGGTTGTATAAATTAGCTTAATTTAAACTATTTTGTGCTACATGAGATAAATATGTGAAAAAAATTTTATCTTATAAAAATGAAAGCACTCAAACCCATGCTAACTCTTCTCTTACCATCAACTTGGGGGAGTTAGGTTTTGAATATTCATACATGTATAATGAGAGCAAAGAAAACAATAAGGCGAAAGAAGCTATCCTGCCTTGCCTAAACTTGTACCACAATGGTATGAGAGAGAAATAATGGAACCCAGAAGGGAATCAAACTGTTATATATATGCATTCTGGCCCCCCCAAAAAAAAAAAAAATCAAATGGTCATATGCATGAACAATTGTACCTATAAATTTCTCACATCCACATGCATGAAGAAATTACTAAGTTTTAATAACATAGAAGAAAAACACTTTTATGTTTTTAAATGGGGATAATATATTTATTAAGAAAATAATTTGTATCTTTTGAGAAATAAAAAGCTGAACAATGAAACCCTTGAAAAATAAGTTTTAATGAAGCATGATAAATCAGTTAGCCTCTTTCTATATGTTTGTTATCATGACTTGCAGGATCCATCCAGACCTCCAATAGTGGAAATCCTTTGTTGGTTAACAATCCAGGATCGGGGGCCAAACCCAGCCATTAACACCCCGCCCGGGGGGGGGGGGGGCGCCTTCCCAAGAACAACACGGTCAGGTTAAATTCGAAATTATCGGCTGCTTCTCCTTCATATTATTCTGCTACTGATAGTGACGCAAAGCAAATGCAATCCTGGGAGAACTTTACACCCAACTCGATCTGGATTTGTTGGAATTTCTTTGTTATGTCGAAAAGAATTCATCGTTTATTACTATTTAAAGTGAAATCCTTGAAAAGTAAGTTTTAATGAAATGCGTTAGGCTCTTTCAATACATATGGTTGTTATCGTGCGTTGCAGAATCCAACCAAATCACTAATGCTGCAAATCCTTATTCCAAAATTATCTGTTGCTTCTTCTCCTTGAAATTAGCCTCTTACTGATGATGACGCAGTACAAATACAATCTGTTATGATCGCTCTTTATAATCAAAGGTTAGCAGAAATAATTGCAAGATAGGTCAAAGGCTACAATACTCATACATACTTATACCCGGTCTTACAGTTATAATACTAAGAGATGAAGAAGAACTAGAAGTATAACAGATAAGATGAGAAGCTACAAAGGCTACAGGAAGGGAATAAGAACAGAAGAAACTCCATAGTCACAAGGACAATGGCTAGAGGGAAGAGAGGAGATCGACAGAGAGGAATCGCCACAATAATCTTCACACACTCCAAATCCCTTGTTGCCGCATCTACATACCTCACTCTTTTCATCTAAGCCCATTAACTTAATGCCCAATAGTAACTTCTTCTGGCCCAGTCGGTGCTACCTCAAGACCCCAAACCATATTATTCTTAGGCCCATTCATTACATTACCTCCCCTGTTAAAATGGACCTTGTCCTCAAGGTCCAGATTTGTAAAAACAACGTGAAACATAACTAAAGCTGCATAGGTGGGTGGATCAAGGCCATTCCAACAACCCAAGATGTGATAAACCCAAGAGATGTGAATTGGAAGGCGATAATAGAGAGCACCTTGTATAATTCCAAAATTCACGGTAGCAATAATTGAGAAAATGAATAGAATCCTATTTCGAAACCTAACTTCAACTGCAGAAACACTTTGTATATGCAGAGAATCTACATATGTGTTCTGGCAATAATCAACATCCTCAAAAGACGGAGAAGCATAGAGTATCACCATCTTTTCATCTTTAAAATTTATAGCAAGATTCTCTATCTTGAGCATTGAGGCAACAAATGGATAACTAAATTCAAACCCAATCCTTACTTCCGCTGACGACAGTTGAGTGGTCCTTTCTTTTATGTAAAACCGGATTACATATAGAATAACATCAATAACCTGAGATGTATAACAGTGATGGTCCAAAAAAAAATTAGGAGGTAGACAAATAACTTGGACAATTTCGAAAAACATAGCCTCCCCAATGCATCCTTCTTCATGCTGTGAGCAAATTATAGCGTTCAAAAAAATAGTGAGAATGCTTTGATAGAGCCTGAATCTGATTTCAAAAATGTTAAGGCTCAATAGAGTTAAATATTGATATTGGATCATTGTCCAAGTCAGATCTTGCAAAGATGGAGAACTCCTTCAAATCAAATTTAACTAGCATTAATACACAGCGAAGACATGTGTAATGATTAGGAGAATAACACCATGCATTCCAGCAAGATAATTGGGAAGATATACCCAGTAACTAGTCTTAATGCCCGTCAACGGAGTCATTATCAACTTTATAAAATCTAATCTGCACCTCAGGAAATCTGTCCGGGAAAATCCACTAATTCTTGAGGGATGCTTTTTAAAGATTTGTCAGGAGATGAAGAAGCATTCCCTAAACAACCATACAAAAATTAACATCAATGTTGCCTCCGAATGCTATAGGTTATTTATGAGTATAAACTATAATCTTGTATAAAATACTAGGGGTATATGCGCGCGCGCACACAAATGTATAATATCATGCAGGGACAGGCACAGAAACTATGGGGATACAAGGATGAAGATTGCTATTGGCTCCGCAAAAAGATTGAGATATCTTCATGAAGACTGTGAGTTTCCTGATTAGTTAATTAATTGACTTTATTACTCTTGTGATCTTAGTTTTTTCAGCCCAATATTATTGGGGTTTCGATCGTTCCAGGTGAACCCAAAATCATACACTGTGACATCAAACCACCCAACATAATTCTTCAGGGTGATCTTCAGCCAAAATTACCTTCTCTTGTAACTTTACAATTACTAAATATGATGTGAATCCACAAATGCAAGTTTTCAGTCAAAACAAACCTCGCTTTTCCCTCGCAAACACCCTTGGATTTTGTATGAAATATAACTTGTGTATATATATATATATATATATGTAGAGAGAGAGAGGGAATTGCAAATTTAGTAGATGAGAAGATGGCTTTTCATCAAAATGATTAATGTAAATGAAAAAGGTTTTGAATTCACGATCTCGTTTCCATACTTGGGAAATAGTTTATTTAAGAGGAATTCCAAATTGTTCTTGCTGCACATAAAGAATCCATTCAATTACCATATCTATAACAAAATAATTACGTGTGCTTGTATCTATTAATTAATCAGATAGCAGACTTTGGACTTGCACAACTTTTATCTGACACTGCTACCCACCTCTCCCAGTCACGATTCATGGGAACCCTTGGGTAAATCTTAGCTTTATGATCCTTTATAATCTTCTCTCTTTGAATTTTATCTCACCATATATATGTAAAGCTAATTAAGTACATGGATTGCCATAGGACAGTACTTTTTTTTTTAATTGTCCCCGTTTTCCCTCAACTGTGTTTATCATTTCAATAATCTCTAACAATTTATGCTATAAACACCCACACACACACCGTTGGACCACAGATATTTAGCTCCAGAGTATATTCTTAGCGGGAAAATCAGTGAGACGTCAGATGTCTTTGCCGTTGGCGTTGTGCTTTTGGAGTTGATCACAGGACGAAAATAAGTGTGATTTTGATTGTATTGATGGTTTCATCATTGAACTTCGGTAAGCAGTATACGTATGAATCGGAACGATTTGAAATGAATTGATATGGGGATTTGTCATAAGTACTTATTGGTTACGTAATCCTTCACTGAAGCTGTTTAGTTTATAATGAACCTTGTTTGACCCAATCAGCATCCAAAAGAATTAAACTTTTTTTAAAAATTTTTTATCTAACTTGGAGTACTTTTTCTTAAGGAATGAGATTTTCTTAAAAAACTTTGAA